TAAAATGTTTAAAAGGGGTAGAAAGTGTTATATACTATAGAGATATATGTATATATATGTGTGTATATGTATATATAATGTTTCGTTCCAGAAGCAGTGAAAACTAACTTCCTTGACCGCTGAATCAATTAAAAAAGGGCAGAAGTTGTGCATTTTTTCACTTATTAATATTCATTTTAAATAGTAAGAAAGGTGAATTCCGCTGTTATAATGATTCACTGGTGAAAGTCGTCATCTTGAGTTGCATATTCTTGACACACGCTTTGTACATTTTTCATTGAAGACTACACTGACTACCAATAAGTATTTGGACACCTATGCAAATGACGATATCTGCGGTCCTAAGGTACATCACGGACTCCGCCGGTATATATCGTGTAGGAAACAGCATCGGCTTTAGTCGCATGCAAGATGCCTCGCAGTTCGGAGCTCTCTGATTTCGAGAAAGTTATAATTATCATTAACAAATGTGGCCGATCCTTAAGGGACATATCTAGCGATCTGAAGTACCCAAAATCGACAGTGGCCTATGCGATTAAGAAGTGGAAGGTGAGCGGTGATTGTCGAAATATGGCCCGAGTCGGCAGACCAACGAAACTGGGAGATAGAGACCGACGAGTGCTGTCCAGAGAAATTCGAAAGAACCGCACCCAACCGATGGCCGTCATCCGCGAGGAGTTTCAACAGGCATCCAGGAGTATTGTTTCAATGAATACCATCCGTAAGGAAGCACATCTGCTTGGTTTTCATGGTCGTGCTTCTGCCCATAAGCCTTTCATCACAAAGTCTAACCGCGCTGCTCTATTAATGTGGTGCAAAGCACATCGAAATTGGACCGTAGATCAGTGGAAACGAGTGAAGAATCAAAGTTCACCCTTTACCGTTCGGATGGCAGGGTCTGGGTCTGGCATCTACCTGGAGAACGTCTCCTGCCAGAATGCATTGTGCCAACAGTCAAGTTCGGCGGAGGTGGAATTATGGTATGGGGGTGTTTCTCCTGGTAGGAGCTGGGACCCTTGGTCCCCATTCATGGTAAACTCAACTCCGATGCCTACTGCACTATTTTGGATGACAATGTGCTTCCTACGTTGTGGCAGTTTTACGGGTTGGACCCCTGTTACTTTCAGGACGACAATGCCAGTTGTCATGTTTCGACGTTAACCAAGGCTTGGTATGGTGCCAATGGAGTTCATCGAATGGACTGGTCTGCCCATAGTCCAGACCTGAACCCTATCGAGAACCTCTGGGACGACTTGCATCGCCGAATTCAGGGGTGCACTACCCGTGCAAAATTGGTGAAGGAACTTCTATGTCTTCTCCAAGCCGAGTGGAAGAAAATACCACTAGCTGTCAAACAAAGACTTGTGGAAAGTATGCCCCGGAGGGTCCACGCTGTAATTACCTCTGGAGGCTTTACCAACTATTGATTTTGAATAAAGTTAGTTTTTCTTTTCTATCACAGGTGTCCAAATACTTATTGGTAGTCAGTGTATTTTCACTGAGCTGTCATCAGGCATCAGATAAGTCGGTGTATTACATGACTAAGTGTGCTGCTCGTTGTCGTTTTACAGTTTTATTGAACCTCCAGGAACATTTCAGATAAACATGTGTTTTGAGCTCTTGAGTCCATTTAAAAATGGGAAAATAACTTTAAATATTATAATTGGTAAATTACTTTACAGATTTTCGCAAGAAATTCAAAACAATTCATGAATATAAAATTCCAGCTCTTTTACAAATATTTCTTCCGCCCTCTTGGCATCCTTTCGTTGTGTGGTGGTCTACACACTGGGCCGTATTCCAGAGGCTGCGGTTCGATTCCCGATGATTTTTCACTTCTCCTGCTTCCAAAACAAGTACCTAATGTCTCTACAGCAACGCCCGAACTGAAAGGGTGTTGCATGATGATTCTCCTCACCCAGGATTTGGCGATTGAGTCCCCTAAAAACTCCAGTCGCCCTTTAAAAGGGGGAGTATATAAAGTATTTTTCCCGCCTTCTTAGCATGCCTTCGTGGTGTGGTGATCTGCAAACTGGGCGCGTATTCCAGAGGTCCGTGATTCGATTCCCGGCGAAGGCGTTGCTAATTTTTTACTTCTCTCCTGCTTCCAAAAAATACCTAATGTCTCTACATATTAAGAAGAAGACGAAAGGAAACCCAAAACTAATATAAGATAGTTTTTTATTTCTTGCAGACCATAACAAGAAAAATAAGTCAGAAGAAAGAAAAATAAGAAAATGATTAATAAAATAAGAAAAGAGTGAAGATTTTATATGTAATCAATGAACGTCATTATGCTTGAAGACGAGCAGACAATTAATATTAAAATTTTAAAGTTTTCAGTTATTAAGTCACACCTCTTAACTATACGATTTTCAATGCTTATTTAGAACAAAAACGACTTGTAAATATTTTAGATAATCACGTTTTTTGTTGTTGTTGTTACAGAATTAAATAGATTAATTTATCATTTTGTTACAATCGCATAAATCACAGAACAGATATGCGCAAAGAGCAAAACAAGAGTTTCTGTTTTATACTACATTTTATACGTATATCATCTTTATAAATCAAGTTAAAACTGCACAAAACTGTTTTTAAATTTTGCTAAAATTGCCAGGCAAAATCTTGTGTTTCTTTTCAATACTTTAAGGATTCTTTCAAATGTTACTGTTATTATTTTGCATAGAAGAAATCCCCCCCCTTTCCCCACCAGGCAAAAAGGTCAGACCAAAAGCAAATGTCAAATTTATTATTGAAGTAGTGTGCGATAATTCTACAGGTGAAATTTTTAATTTAGAGCTCAATTCCGTGTGATTCTTAATTATCCTTAATTTACGGACATGAGTATATTATATTGTATTCCTAGAAAGCGCGATTCCTGGATAGTTCAAAGTAATTATTATTGGGACCGAAAAGGGCAAACTGTATATGTGAATCAAATTCTAAATATGCCGATGTTTACATATGGAGTTCTGTTCCAAGATTAGATGAAAGCTATCATTATTTGAATGATTTTGTTTATAATTTGGTAGCTTTTTAAGGAATTTATTATCTTGTAGAGTTTCTCACTTTGTAAATGCTATGTTACTGTTGACCGTGAAGAACCTAAGTTGAAGTTAAGAATTTGACAGGAAACAAGTTTGACTCAAAATTTAACTGTTAATAAAATTAACATAATTCATACAATCTTATCAAAAGTTGGTATCTGTTATTTAGGGTGTTTCATATTAAATGGGATAAAAAGAAAGCATACCCGTAAACGATGTAATTTCTTTATTTTGATAAATCAAATTTACAGTGAAACTATAATTCTCCAAGTTTCTATCGACATTCTATGTCTGCCCCTCTTGTGGCATGGCAAATATCTATGAGGTATTTCTTTTCCTGCCACTCTCGGGATAGAATATCCTTTGTTAAGGATTCGAGCACTTCACTTATTCACTGCTTCAGTTGCTGTAAGTCCTAGGAAAATGAAGATACGAACATTTTTAGCAAAACCCTCACAGGAAAAATCATTTTGGATTAGATCTGGGGATCTCGGTGGCCAACAAAACATTGGTATATCGTTTGACCCAGCACGGCTAATCCAGTGATGGAGTGGGCTGTCTTTCAGGTAATGGTGTATGTTTTTATGCCAGTGTGGTGAAGAACTGTCTTGCGGCAGAATGAAGCCGAAAGCCGCTTCATCCAACTGCGAGAACAACTGCTCTGATAGCATATCTTGGTAAATGCAAACGTTAATCGATTTTTCCACCAAGAAAAAAGTAACATAACTACAACTTTTGCAAATGGCACAGAAAACGTTCACCTTTGGACAATGACCCTCATGTTCCATTATACCATGGGGTTTTTCTGTACCCCGAAATCGTAAATTATGGCGATTAAATTTGCCAGAAACGTAAAAAGTGCTTTCATACGTTAAACACAAGTCTGTTCACGAAACCATCTACCATACCTCTAGCCAGCTTATCTTACAAGTTCTTGTCGGAAGTTTTAACGTCTGCTCCATCTGAAAGGTGTATGGCCGGAACTGTAGACGTTTTCGCAACACATGCCACAACGCCACATGAGATACATTAAGTTCAGAAGACGCACGTTGATTTTGTGGGATTTCGTAAAAATTTCAGGAATTTTTCCAACCATCTCGATTTTGGCTGCTGTTCGTCTTGGACTTACACAAGCAGCCCGTATCTTGAAACTGCTTCACCGTTCGACGCTGTGACGATGCGGTGGTTCTTTGTAAAATTTTGTGCAAAAATTCATGAGCGCTGCTTGAACCATGTGGTTGCTAGGATTTCATGTGTTATTTTATGGCCATCCGGTAGCTTTAAATTATCAATTTAAGCAGAAAATACTTGATTTTATAGAACAGTAATAGCAGATACTATTTTACTTCAAAGTGAAAGGGAAATAGCTGTATGAGTTACCTTTGACTTGTATCTTAACAAAGTTCGATTAGTGAAACATGGAATCTTTATTAGCTACTTTATTTAGTTTGCACTTTTATACATATATACATAAAAGTAAATTTTACTGATTATTAAGTGCTAAATTTCATGTTTTTAAGTTTATCATAAGTATGCACGAATAATTCTTAATAGAAAAAAATTTGATTTTACTATTTTGATGGATTGGCAGATTTCATGATGTTAGAATGCTAGTTTATTTCCCTGGTGTCAAATGGAATCAAATTTAACGTTTTTGGTATTTTTATTCATTTATTTATAATTATGTTTCTTGCTTATTACGTCAAATATTTTTGTAGGCATAAAGGTAATGTGTCTTGCAGATCATTGTATTTACCAAATGCAATTCATGCATACGAACAGCAAATGAGGGCATTAAAATTTCAAAAATCATAAACTGAAGTAAATCTTCCTCAGTTGAAATTTAGTACTACCAGATAGATAGTTATAGGTCTTATTTTTACATTCATAGGGGAAAAATAGTGATTTTGGATTGGCCAAGGTCATGAAATTTATGCCATGCAGACTTACGTTATGTTCATGACAAAAGTTAACAGCTTGCAGGGTTTGCCATATGATCCTTTTTGTCAAATTTTCTGGAACCCTAAAAGATAAAAATTTTCACTAATTAATGTTAAAGATATTTTCTGCATACTTTATTGTTTACTTCAAAATTTGTTAATTTAAATCACACGAGATAAATTTATAAAATATATTTGACAGAATTTCAGAGAAGTACTCTATAAAAACATTATTCTTCTGAAAGACTATTCCTTCACTCTCTCATAGCTTTCATATTTCTTACTTCCTTGAAAATTGTTTGATTTCTTTTAATTTTTTTCTCTGTTTTATTATGATGGTCCCTGAAATTACGTTTCCTGATATTTCTCTGATTTATGGTCCAGTGAAAATTTATTCTGTCTTAGATTTTCTTGATCCAAGAAGTTCTGTTTTAAGTTAAGAAAATCTGTCTCATTCTACTTCAAGAGTTTCAAAATTATAGTTTCATGAGATAAAATTTTATATAATGTTCAGGTAAATAAATCCTTCTTTTGACGAGCTTAAGTTCATATGTCACATTTGTTTCACGAAATACAGCATTGTTTAGAAGAGGTCATTTTTTTCCCAGACATTATTTCTTGTATAATTAATTCATTTGTATGAAAACCAGCTGTATCGGGTATTTCCTGCCCGATCAGTAATGTTACAGTTTGACGATTAGTATAGAGATTTCACTGTTGGTCTTTCCAGTGCATATTTCGATGTAAAGCTGGAATACTATTATAAGTCTCTTCTGTGTTTACAGAAAAGTTGCAGAAATAGAAGGAAATAGTAAAACTTTCGTTTAATTTATTTTAGATGAGTCAAGGAAGTTTCCATTTTTCAAAGCTTTATGACAGCGTAAGTTTAGTCAGCAGTATTTGATCATTATATTAATAATAAAACTTCTGTTAGTAATTGCTATAAACATTTTTGCTTGATGTGGATACACTATTGTATTGGGCCGTTGTAATTAACTATAATAATTAATTTATAATGACATATGATTAAAACGTTTACTTCAATAAGAGAGTGCTTTTGATTCAAAATCCACATACCCATAAAAAACAACTATTTCAAAAATATGATGGGTGATGAAAAACGTTTCGGCCAGTTTCATAGTGAATGAGATTTGAATTACGCACAATACCGATCAGTTCTATAGGGAGGGTATTTTCTATTAATTAACAGCACTCATATGCTATTAAAATGTTTGCAATTATGCATCCAGTTTTTGATGAGGTAAGAGAAACTTGTTACTGATATACTTACATACATACATACATATAATTTAAAATTAATTTAAAATCAAAGCAAATTAGAATTTGATATTCAATATGGCAGAGCAGAACAAATCTTTTTACTTACGTTAGTTTTCTTAGCTTGTTTTCACGTTTTTGCACTTTTTGTACCAATTCTTTTTCTTTTGCTTCGCCATTAACTGAATATGTTATCTTTTAGAATCTTAGTTTAATATTAAATTATAAGAAATGAATTACTGCAGTTTTCAAAGCAAAATTTAGCTTCAGGTTAATTTGAAGTAAATTTTCTTATTTTATCTAATATATGTATGTGTATATGTAACCTAAAGTTAAACTTCAAGATCAGAAAAAATGTAATGTTAGCTTGAAGTAAATGTTTGAGACATGTTCAGTGAATATTCATAAAATTTAATACAAGTCTGTGTCTTTGAAGGGGAAGGGAATACTCTACATCCTTCTGCCGATGCTGATATATTATAAATATGCAAGTCTACGCCCCAACAGGGAAATCACTCACTCGCCGAAATAAAGACTAATAGGGCAGTAATTTTGCCATTCAGTGAGGTAATTCCTTCCAATGAGGCTAGGTGAGGAAAGAGAAATGAAGACCTTTATCCTAATACAGCGGCTTTGAACGGTAAGTCCAAATACATCTTTCTTGGATAATTGTATGTATACTGGCATTTAGTAACTATAGCAGCTCTATCAAGGTTTTCCAGTTTATTCCATAATGGAGCATGAAGCTAAAGGTTCAAATTGGGGCGTAGGAACACTTAAACTACGAGGCGAGCCGAAAGTGTTCAGGTGGGATTTAGAGGTAGAGCAAGAGCGGTGAGATATCCTTGGACCCATTCCCCGAGGTATTCTCATTTAAAACTGGGACAAAATCGTACTCTCATCTATATATGGAGCCTAAGGCCTATGCCAACGATAAATTCAATCCTGCATTCTTTGCCACGATAATATTCGTGAGGTTGGTTCTGATGTTTTTTTTTCCAAGTAAGTGAGATAAGTCACATTACCTGGAGTAATATGTTGCGGCTTTGATTACCAGTGGCGAAACGAATTAACAGTTTTCGCGGTTTTCCATGTATGTAATTGGATTACAGCAGAGCTTTCTTGAAAAAGCCTTGAAAAGGAAACTTCCTGAGTCAAACTGTGTATTTCGTCATGTATTGTTTTCCTTTATAATTACTAAATTGTACTGATATCTCATAGCCTTGTAAATTTTATATTTTCATTATATTTTTATCGTATCTGTGCTATTTCTTTAATCTGCTTGTATATTTTCTTAGGCTTTAATCTTATCCTTAATTCTGCCGAAGTTTAAAAAATTTTTAATTTATAATTTTTATTTTCTAGCGTTGCGTTATTACTTGGAGTTTTCAGGTTTGTCGCTTTCATTGCTTCTGGCAATAAAGCATGAGCGGTCCATTTTTAATTTTTTATTGTGTACACGTTTTTTCATCTTAGATTGTAAGGATCTTAAGTTTTACTAACGTTTATTTTATTTTAAATCTTTACTATCACTTCTTATTTTCTACTTCCGGCCAGAATTATAAGCGTGAAGGAGTTTATGCAAAGTTGTCTGGCGAACGCCAAGTATTTAAGTGTGGCCTTTTTGCCAAGCAGAAGAGAGGAAGCCGTGAGTTCGAAGCAGGCCGCTTACCTTAGAAGTTACGCAGTTGCTACTTTGCCTTCCAGGCCAGAGGTTTTAATCCTCTTGATAAATTAAACGTATTGTAGTGTTCACAGTCTCTGTGCTACATACGCTTCCTGTTATTATAAGGCCAATCTTCTTATTCTAAAGTTAAATTAGAGTTTAGTTTTATTTTGATATCTTTTAAGTTAGACCCCGAGTGGAGGGTCATTGTATTCCGAAGTACGGAAGTCATTGTATATAAAGAAAAAAATAAAGGGTTTTGTATACCCTTCGTCTGTATCCTGTCTACTTACTACAATTAGTGAACATAGCTTTAGTAAGCTCTCTGTTCTAGTCAGGTCATTGTATGTTTCCGAAGAAGGTAAGAAGAACATTGAACCTGATAGTGGCGCCCGACGAAGAATAACCATGGCCGAGTTTCAAGAAGAACCTGTGCTGCCTGCAGAAAACAGCTCAGAATCCAGAAATGCCAGCTGCTGCCGCCCTGGAAGGATTTGGGTATATTGTCCAGACCATGCGCGCTTCGATGAAACCAGAAGCAACGTTTAATGGAAACTCACAGGTAACCAGTTTTTTTTTGGAAAAATTGGATGACCACTTCATGCTCTACCCCGTGCACGAGTTTCAAAAAGTTACCTTAGCTACCAGCGCTTTGAGGGGCCAAGCGCTTAACTGGTTCAAATGTATCGGCAGAAGTCTCTTGGGTCAAGCAGGAAGTCCCACCTATACCTACGAAAATTTCAAGACTGCCCTACTAAAAGCCTTCCCTGTTGTAAGGGATCGTGCGAAATTAGAAACAGAACTTTTTCAGTATATATCAACAAAGAATGGAAAACCTCTCCAGGCTTTATTTTAAGAAAAATTCACGTTTTCAAGCTCTTGTATGGAAACCGTCCGGATCCTGAAATAATTCAAGTGATTTTGCCGAGGTTACTACCCCAAGTGCAAGACTTTATTGAATTGAGAAATCCGACTACACTGGAAAAATTATTTGAGCTAGCAATCCAGTTTGAAAGTAGAAGAACGGCGGACGTCGAAAGAAGACGCCAATATCAACAGCGAAACCAATTTGGTACGCCAAGACTACAGCAAACTCAAGCACATGGCTACGGAGAAAAAGCGAATCAGTGGGCAAGGAAACCCGAGCATTCAAAAACAGCCGGCGAACGTCGACAGTTCAATAGCAACCCAGGAAAAAAGTCTCAAGGCCAGGGAGAAAGAAGGAAAGCACCGAAAGAAAAATAATTTAAACTAAAACGGATTTCTGCTGACGAGAGGGTGCGGAAATCCGAAGGCCACGAAAACCCCTCTTCCTACAAGTTAAATACAGTAATGGTGAAAAATTTAACTCTTCCGAAGATTGAAGTCTTGGTAAATAATATCCCGGCCACCGCACTCCTGGATACCGGCGCGCAGTGTTCCTGTGTGGCAGAAGTCTTTTTTAGAAAGTATTTTCGCAAATACCGCATATATAATGCGGATAATACAACAGTATTAGCGGCGCAAGGAGAACAATGTAAGTGCGTAGGTAAAGTACCTTTGTATCCGTATCAAGGACGAACAAGTAAAGGTGATGTTTTTTATAGTAAAGAATTTGCAAGCACACTTAATACTAGGGAATAGACTTTCTTTCAGACGCACAAGCTACACTGGATTTTAATGAAGCGTCTCTTAAGCTGACGATGAAACCAGTGCGTGTAGAAAAGGTTGAACCGCCAAGGTTAAATCTCGACCACCTGCCTAATGACGAGCAAGATAGAATCCGACAAGTGGTAAGTGAATTTGCTTCCTTATTTAGTGATATTCCAGGATTTACCCAGGTTACTAACCATAGTATTGACACCGGAGATGCATTGCCGGTTCGTCAAAAACCATACCGGTATGATAAGAATAAGGAAAAAATTATAGAATGGCATATTACCGATATGCTACGTAAAAAGATCGTAACGCCTATCTCAAGTAGTTATGCTAGTCCGGTGGTTTTATGTAAGAAAAATAATGATTATCCTTTGGAGCATCCAAAAAGGTGGAGATTCGCTATTGATTACCGTAAATTAAATTCCATAACGAAATATCCGGTATATCCGTTACCGATTATAGAAGAAATTTTAAGGAACATAAAATCAACCAAATTTATGA